ACTTCTCACAGACTAGGATGGCTATTATCAAAAACATGGAAAATAGTAAGTATTGGTGAGGATGTAGAGAAATTGGAACTGTTGTGCATTGCTAGTGGGACTGTAAAATGGTACAGCAGTGTGGAAAACAGTTTGACAGTTTTTCAAAAAGTTCAACATGGAATTATCACTGTTGTTGTTAAGTGCTGTCAAGTCGATTATGACTCATACTGACCCTATTTCTAACAGAACGAAACACTGCCTGGTCCTGCACCATCCTCATGATCATTGCTATGTTTGAGCCTATTGTTGCAGCTACTGCGTCAGTCCAGTTTGTTGAGGGTCTTCTTCTTTTTAGCTGACCCTCTGCTTCACCAAGCATGATGTCCTTCTCCAGGGACTGGTCCTTCCTGATAACACTCCAAAGTATGTGAGACGAAGTCTCACCTCCCTTGCTTCCAAGGAGTATCTTCGTTGTACTTCTTCCAAGACAGGTTTGTTTGTTCTTCTGGCTGTCCATGGTATGTTCAATATTCTTCAACACCATAATTCAAAGGAATCTATTCTCCGGTCTTTCTTATTCATCGTCCAGCTTTCACATGCATTTAAGGTGATTGAAAATACTATGGCTTGGGCAACAGACACACCTTAGTCCTCAAAGTGCAACATTTGCTTTTCAACACCTTAAAGAGGTCCTTTGCAGATATGCTCAATGCAATACCTCATTTGATTTTTTGACTGCTGCTTCCATGGGTGTTGATTGTGGATCCAAGTAAAATGAAATCCTTGACAACTGCAATACTTTCTCCATTTTTCATGATGTTGCTTATCGGTCCACTTGTGAGGATTTGTTTTCTTTATGTTGAGGTGTAATCCATAATGAAGGCTATAGTCCTTAATCTTCATCAGTAAGTGCTTCAAGTCCTCTTTACTTTCAGCAAGCCAGGTTGTATCATTTGCACATCACAAGTTGTTAATGAGTCTCCCACCAATCCTGATGCCACATTCTTCTATGAAGAATTATTATATAACCCAGTAATTCCACACGTAGGTATACACTCAAAAGACTTGAAACCAGGGACTCCAGTAAATACATGTACACCAATGTTCACTGCAGCATTATTCACAATAGCCCAAAGGTACAAACAATCCAAGTGTCCATCAACAGATGAACAGAGAAACAAAATGTGGCATATACATACAATGGAATATTATTCAGCCACAGACAGAAATTAAGTTCTGATAAATGCTATGACAGGGATGAACCTTGAAAAAATTATGCTAAGTGAAATAAATCAGTCACAAAGGGACAAAAATTGTATGATCCCACTTATTATGAAATATCTACAATAGGCAAAGGAACAGAGACAAAACTTTATCAGTGGTTACTAGGGGCCGAGAGGGGAAGAATGGGGAATTATTGCTTAAGGGGTACAGAGTTTCTGTTTGGTGTCACAAAAAAAAGTTTGGAAATAGCAGTGACGGTTGCACAACATGGTGAATGTAGTCAATGTCACTAAGTGTACACTTAAAAATGGTTAAACTGGCAAATTTTTTGTTATATTTTACCACAATAAAAATCTTTAAATATTGTATAATCAAACTTTTTCTTGATTGATAAATAAACCTTACTCTCCAAGAGATATCACTAAAACCAATTTGGTTTACAAAATAGCTTTGTTGGAACATAAATTCACATACAAAACAGTAATTTAAAATACATATTTCTCTGCAGTCCCCTAAACGTTAAGAATTTATATACTATGTCAAATTAACAGTGAACCCTCAGCATCTAAATCTCCAGAATTCAAAGATTTGCTACAAGATGCTTATTATTGATGAATGTCATTTTCTTCTCTGTTCTCTGCTCAAAAACCTTCAATAGCCCGTCTTTTACTCTTGGCATAAAGTACAGCCTAACTGTAAAACAAATATCCAGTGATCTTAGTCTTTTTATAAAGAGCTCTCAAATTGTACAGCAGAGAAATAAAACACCTTTCCACAGTCTTGGAGTTTTTCTCTGGAGTCGGGTTTTTGTTTTTTATATATTTTTTTTTTTTGTGGCAAATATATATGTAACAGAACATCTGACATTTCAACAATCTTCACATGTACAGTTCAGTGACGTTATGTTCATCATGTTGTTCAACCATTACCTTTGTCCATTCCAAAATTAGACATCACCTTTAACAGAAGCTCAGTGGGGACCTAAGCAATGAGTCCTCCTTTCCCCCTCACTGTCACCTGCTCCTGATAACCACTAATAAACTTTGGCCTCTACACACTTGCCTATTCTAGATATTTCATAAAAATGGGATCATTCAACATTTGTCCTTTTATAAGTGGCTTATTTTAATCAGCATAATGTTTTCACAGTTCGACCATGCTGTAGCATGTATTGAGACTTTATTTCCCTTTATGGCTGAGTAATGTTCCATTATATGTACCATATTTTGTTTATCCATTCACCTGTCGATGGACATTTAGGCTATTTCCACTTTTTGGCTATTGTGAATAGTGCTGCAGTGAATATTGGTGTACAAGTTATCTGTTTGTGTTGCTGCTTTCAATTCTTTTGGGTACATACCTAGGAGCAGAATTGCTGGGTCATATGGTAATTGTGTTTAACTTTTTGAGGACCCGCCAAACTGTTTTTCAAAGCGGCTGCACCATTTTGCCGTCCCACCAGCAATGCAAGAGTTCTAATTTCTCTACATTCTCACCAACACCTGTTGTTTTCCATTTTTTAAAAATCATAGCTGTCCTAGTCTGTGTGAAGCAATATCTTATTATGGTTTTGATTTGCATTTCCCTAATGACTAATGACACCGAGCACTTTTTAATGTGCTTGTTGGCCATTGATGAAATGTCTATTCAAGTACTTTGCCCATTTTTTGACTGGGTTGTTTGTTTTTGTTATTAAGTTGTAAGAGTTCTTTATATATTCTGGATATTAAAACTTTATCCAGATATGTTGTTTCCAAAAATTTTCTCCCAGTCTGTAGGTTGTCTCTGTCCTTTTTTTTTGATAAAATTCTTTGATGCACAAAGGTTTTTAATTTTGATGACGGCCCATCTATTCTGTCTTTTGCTACTCATACTTTCGGTGTCATAAGAATCTATTGTTAAAAAGCATTAACCTGAAGCATTACCCCTATATTTTCTTCTAAGAGTTTTCTGATTTCAGTTCTTACATTTAAATGTTTGATCCATTTTGAGTTAGTTTTTGTACACATTTGCTGATTTTTACAAAACGTAAGCATTTTGGCCACAGACTCCACAATTTCACCCTAACCAACCAGATGCAATCGAGTTGACCCCAACTCATGGTGACCCCATGCGTGCTAGAGTAGAACTGTGCTCCATAGGGTTTTCAATAGCTGATTTTTCAGAAGTAGACTGCCAGGCCTTTCTTCCAAGGTGCTTCTGGATGGATTCAAACCTACAACCTTTCTGTTAGCAGCCTTTAGGTTTCTTTAAAATTTCTGGACAGATGACATTTCATTCCAGTGATTTTTTTCCCCAAGCTAAGCTTGTTAGTAAGTGTTACAAAAAGCTTTTCCTATATAAATCATTTTTAGAGGCACAGCCATACCCAGAGGCCTCGGCTGACAGATTTAACAAGCAGATTGAGCCTAAGGATGTACCTTATGGTCCATATCCTTCCAGACTGCTTTTTCCATGTTATGTAGATATATATATTTTTACACAAAAATTGAATGACTTTTAGATACATAGTCTTGTAACCTGCCTTTTCACCAATTAGCTCATTAAAAAAACTTTTTATGTCAATAAATATACATCCACATAATCATTTTTAAAGTTTGTAGGATATGCCATTAATAAGTTCTGGTGCTGAGGTAATGAATGAGAGATACGTCTTTCATTAAAAAAGGTCAGTCTTATTCTATATAGTATTTCTAATTTATCTTTAAGTATGTATACCTACAATTCTTTCTCAGTTACCTCCCCTGAGCATTATGTAATATATCTAAGCAGATACCCTCTTTATATAGAAAGCAAGGAAAATAAACTATAATAAACTTTCAAAACTATTCTGTAGAATTAAAGTTAGCCTATTAACTAAATTACTACAGCATTCCAAGTAAAGAGATTGAGTGTAACTGATAAATCCATTATCATAACACACCATGCCACCATTTCACACCCTATTCTGAACTACCCAATTTTTTAAAGTCTCTTTCTCAACTGTATACTACACTGCATCCAAGTGTAATAATGTAGCAAATCAACTATTCTTGGTAGAAGATTAAAAAAAAAAAAAAAAACATTGCCAAATGAAATCTGAATTCAGAGTCCTGACTATTCCTTGAACCACGCTGTCTAATTAGTAGGGCACTGGTACCCTCTATTATCACAGCACTATGCTTCTCCTTAAAAGCACCACAAACATTAAAATACGTACCTATAATTCTTTATTTCATTATATTAGTGGCACCAAAGATGTCTAAAACCACAACTCTATGGTATCAGCGAACCGTACAGAGTTGGAGCTGACTACATTTTCTACTTAAGAACTGTAGTGCATACAAAGCACATTTGATGTTAGACAAAGAGTCAAAGTTTTCTCATCTACAACAGCATACTAACAAGTATGACCCGACTCTTACGCTTGTAGTCCACTGTGAATTGTAAATACAGCATTTGAAATTTCTGGCCCAAATACACTAGCCCAAGAATGTTATGTTTTTGATGAGAAAGTATTTGAGAGGAAAAAAATTAATATTGCTCCTTAGACTGAAGTACCCCTATTAAATTAGGCATTCTGAAACACAGAACAAAACACTTAACATATACTTCCAGCAGTCACAACAACAAAAGGTTTAACGTTCATTATATCATTTACTTCAATAGTTTCCAAGAAGAGTTCTACTCTCAACCACCAACTCTGAAGCTCAGCAAACTTACCACCTTCACAAATAAATCTGCATCTACCCCTACATTTCTATTTGGCCTAGATTCAATTTGGGAAAGTTTCAAGGCTTTAATGTTGCACTTACTCAAAGTTTTGGAGTAGATACATTTCCTCTTGAAGGATGTTCCCCAAGCCAAGTGTCCCTACACTGAGATTAACAATCCTTTTAAAGCCCAAACCACCCTCTGACACAGACAGGCTAACACTTACCTCTATCTGCAGGACAAGAAACTGAGGTGACTTGCTCAGGTTTCTGAGGCCCAACCAGCATGCTAAGTCATACTTTCTGTATCCTAATCTGTTGAGCCAGCCATGCCATCTTACCAAAAAAGGACTATTTCGTGTCAACAGTATATTACATCACACACAAACCATAGAAATACAACTTATTAAAATGGATGAAAAACATAACAGCCTAACTACGTCTTATAACCACATCAAAGTAACTGAACCAAAAAAATAAGCTGCAGTACTGACTAGCCCAGTCACTAAGGTGGGAAAAATTATTCTCAATGTCCCTGTCCACCCAAAAAGCAATGAACATTTGTTTCTTGAACAGATTAGGTTTCATCAGAAGAAAATTGCATATGTATGTTTTCTTTCAGCTGTGAATATGGAAGTTTAAGGTCATTACTCAGCTGTTTACAGAACAGATTACCCCCATTATCTCTGCTCACGAGCAACTACAGAAGCTATCATGTTAAAAGCAAAGCCTCATTAGGAACAGACTACTAGTTCATCACTCTGCAGCCTTCTAGAGTTTACAAACCACTCCAGCTAATAACCAGGGATTGCCAGAATGCTAAAACAGCAGCCACACAGACAGATTACAGAAGTCTACAGGTCATAAAAAACAAATTCACTAGCTCCTTCCACATTTAGTGTCACGGCAGTATTGCCTGCTAGCTCTGGAACCAAACTGCCTGCATGTAAATCCTGACTCCACTACTCCGTGTGACTGTGGGCAAGTTACTTTAGTTCCCAAAGTCTCCACTTCCTCATCCATAAGAGGTAATGGATAGCCCCTGACTCCTAGGTCATAAGGTCACTGAAGAATGAATGGAGATGATATGGGTAAAAAGTGTTTAAGCACAGTGCCTGGTACATACAAAGCATTTAATATTCGCTTACTATTACTTCTACTGCTACCACCACTACTACTATTATACTACCCAGTAAACATGGTAGTATGAAGAATGTAGGGCTGGGGACTTGTAATTTTTGTTTTAAATAGATTTGACCTAATTGTTTTAGGCCTAGGACCATGCTAATTAATGATTACAGCACAGTGAAAATGTCTGATATTTATAGTGCCATTCCTCCTTAACTGGAAGGTCTTTCCCTCTCCTTTCTGTCTTTTTAAATTTTACGTATCCTTCAAGGCCTTATTCAGAATATACTTCTGAGATGAAGCCTTTTCAGATACCTCCTGCCATAATATGTTTCGTTTGATCTGAGCTCATGGTATCTATTGCCTAAAATACTCAGTGGGCAATTAATCAATCACATATTAGCATGTCATCTTTTCATTTTTGTCCCATATACCAGTATTATTTAACTCACATATAGTAATATTTGTGTGTTTATGTCTAACTCCTCAGACTGTACAGCTCTTGACAGTAAGGACCATACATCCTAATGCTTCTCTGTATTTATCAAAGACTGGAGCTTTGCCCGTAATTGGCACCCACTAAACGCATTAATCAGAGGGTTTTCTAATCACTCCTAATTGTGTATATAAAATACATTTCATAAAGTGGGAAAAGCAAGTTTATTAATAAACTCTGAGATTACTTTATGAACACAAATGCTTCATTACTACCACTGGAATACGTAATTGTATCTACTTCCCCACAGGGACTCCGAAAAGGTGACATAACGAATCAGTGAATTAGTAGCAGAGTCAGAAATACTTGCTACCTAGCTAGCTGTGATGGTTGTGTGTCAGCTTGGCTGGGCCATGAGTCTCAGTGGTTTGGCAGTTACGTAACGACGTAGTCTGGCAGTTACGTAATGATGTAGTCATCCTCCATGATGTGATCTGATGTGATCAGCTAATCAGTTGTAAGGGGAGTTTCCTCAGGGCTGTGACCTGCATCCAATATATTTTGTTATTGTTGTTAGGTGCCATCGAGTCAATTCCAACTCATAGTGACCCTACAGGACAGAGTAGAACTGCCCCATAGGGTTTTCAAGGAGTGGTTGGTGGATCTGAACTGCTGACCTTTCAGTTAGCAGCCAAACTCTTAACCACTATGCCACCAGGGCTCCAATATATATATGGACATTATGGCAAAGCTCGCTTGCTCTGGATCCTGCATCCGGCTCATCATCATCTGACCTCCGGTTCTTGGGACTTGAGACAACTGCCGGCCGTCTTACCTGCCAATTTTGGATTCATCGGCCTCTGCAGCATGTGAGCCAGCAGCCTACTGTATGACCTGCTGATCTGTGGTTAGCCTCTGCAGCTACATCAGGAGAAGCCTCCATCCTGATGCCTGACCCAAGGACTTGGGACTTGCCAGTTTCTACAACCGTGTGAGCCGTTTTCTTGAGATACATATATATGCTTCACTGGGTTTTCTTCTCTAGAGAACCCAGCCTAAGACACTAGCACAAGCTAAAATCTTTTGCAGAAACCACAGGTACAACAGATTTAATACTGAATATATAATTTTGTATCCATATGTATACCTTACAGACCATACGCAGGAGTTAGTAATGTATGCCATACTTCAGAACAATAGGCACTTCAGCACCCTTATCAAATTAATATGAACAATTTACCTGAGGATCTTAAATGGTAAGTGAAGATTTAGTCAAGTCTCAATAAACCCACTTGTGAGAGATTTGATTTGTGATGTATAAAACCCTCATTTATATTTTTCTTAGACTCCTTTACTGATGTTCATGAGGAGAAATGTCATTAAATGAATGAGACTAATAGCATTAATATTTAAATTTCAACCTCCAAAGGGTACTTGCCTTTACAAAACTTGTACCTTAAGTTATTAATAGTACGCATGAGAAAATATGATCCTCGTATGAATCACAATAGTAAGAGTTTAATTATTTAGACTTGTTTTCAACATTTTAAGAGTTCCAATTCCTTCCTAAAAGTATTTGCTTTAAACGTTTACCTGTGAACTAAAATAACAATGTTGTTGTTGTTGTTAGTTGCCATTGAGTCAATTCAGACTCATGGCGATTCCACGTGTGCACAGAACTGCTCCATAGGGTTTTCAAGATTGTGACCTTTCAGAAGCAGATAGCCAGGCTGTCTTCCAAAGTGCCCCTGGAGGAGTTCAAACTGCCATCCTTTCAGCTAGTAGTCAAGCACTTAACCATTTATGCCACCCAGAGGCTCCTAAAACAATACCATGATGATAAATAAAAATATTCTCAACAAAGTTTCTCTGCTGAGATAATGGCATCTGTCAGTCAGAACACTTAGTATTTGTAGAGACTGATTACATTCAATAATTCTTTTTTAAAAAATGCTATAAAGATATGTGTAAACATGAGGGCGGAGAAAGTGCTAAGGCTAATGGTTTCCTGAAAAAAACTGTCCCCCTTCCAAAGTTTCATTCTATTTGTTAAAGAAAATAGCTCTGGGGAAAGAAAAATAGACCAATAGACCAGAAGAGAGACCCCAGAACCAGGCTCGTGTAAATACACATATTGAAATCAGATGGAAGTGGTATAGGAATCAATGGGAAACGGTTAAACTATTCAATAAGCAGTGCTGGGAGAAGTGAATATCAATCTGGGGAAAAAATGCAACTGAATCCCCACCTCACAACAGAGAAAAAAAATCAACTCAAGATAAAATGTGAAAGGTAAATTTTATCCCTTTGAGAAGAAAATAATTATTTCTTCTAATAGGAAAAGACTTTTATGATATTGATTTAGGCAAGTATTTCTTAAACAAAACATAAAAAGAACCCATATAAAGGAAAAGTTGACCAGTTAAATGAAAAATGTTTGCTTATCAAAAGACATGAAAAATATAAAAAGACAAGCCAGCAACTGAGAAAAGATACTTGCAACACACATAATATGAGGACTCCTAAAAACGAGAAAAAGGAAAACAATCCAATAGAAAAATGGACAAAAGACATGAACAAGCATTCAACATAGGATGAAACTCAAATGGCTAGTAAATAAATTTAAAAGATGCTCCAGCTCAACAATATCCCAAGGGGGAAAAAAAAATGAAAATCTCAACGAGATACCATTTTATACCTACCAAAGGAGCCCTGGTAGCACAGTGGTTAAAGCAGTCAACTGTTGTTAAGCAAAAGGTCAGCGGTTCAAAACCACTAGCGGCCCCGAGGGAGAAAAATGTGGCAGTCAGCTTCCACAGAGATTTACAGCCTTGGAAACCCTATGGGGTCGCTATGAGTTGGAATCAACTCGACAGCAATGGGTCTGGTTTTTGGTTTTTAAATTAGCAAAACTTAAAAAATAACAATATCAACTGTTGCAGAAAATGTGGGAGACTCCCTCACCCCCAAACTCATTGCCATCAAGTCGATTCCAACTCACAGCAACCCTACAGGACAGACTAGAACTGGTCCACAGAGCTTCCAAGGCTGTAAATTTTTCCAGAAGCAGATTGATACATCTTTCTCCCATGGAGCGGCTGGTGGGTTCAAACCGCTGATCATTTGGATAGCAGCCAAGCTCTTTAACCACTGCACTACCAGGACTCCTTTGTGGAAGAACAGGAACCTATATACTGCTAGCCAATTGCCAACAAGTCAATTCTGACTCATGGCAATCCCATGTGTTTCAGAGTAGAACTGTGATTCATAGTTTTAAATGGCTGATATTGCAGAAATAGACTGCTGGGCATTTGTTCCAAGGCAACTCTGGGTGGACTCTAACCGCCAAACCCTTCAGGTATCAGCTGAGTGTGTTAACCATTTGCACCACCTAAAAACACCTCAGAAAATAATGGACCACTGTCTAGTAAAGTTGAAGACGCACATACTGGTGACACAGTACTTAAGAGCTCAGCTGCTAATCAAAAGGTGGGCCACTCGAATCCACCAGCCACTCATTGGAAAACCTATGGGACAGTTCTACTCTGTCCTATAGGGTCACTATGAGTCAGAATTGACAAGACGACAACAGGCTTTTTGTTTTTTATGACCTAGCAATTCCACTTCTCAGTATGAAATCTTGAGTAACTTGTACATGTGCACCAGGAAACAAGTACAAGAACGTCCCTAACAACAGCATTGTTTGAAATTACAAAACCTTGGGGAAAAAATCCCTTACATCCAAGAAGCAACTGGATAAATAAATTGTGATATATTCACAAAATAAAATGTTACACAGCAATGGAAATTAACCAATGATAGTTACATGCACCAACATGAATGACTTTTACAAGCAATGTTAAACGGGGGAAAACTAACCACAAGACTATACACAGTACAATTCCATTTATACAAAATTCAAAAACATGGAAAATAAATCATTTTATTGTTTTAGGTCATATAGATGCTAAATACTATTTAAAAACAAGCCAAAGAATAACAAACACAAAATTCAGAATACTTGTATCCTTGGAGGGTGGGTAGGGGTGTACGATCGGGTAGAGAGGCACACTGGGCAAAAATACAACTCTTGATTCCCTCCCCAAAACCTGCTCCACCTCCACTGTTCCCCATCTCAGAAGTTATATTTGACTTCTCTTCCTCTCACACCTTCATGTAATTCATCAGCAAGACCTATCAACTCTACCTCCAAAACACCCCAATTCTTTCGATCCCTATTACTCTTATTCAAGCCACCATCAACCTCTCACCAAGATCGCTGCAATAGCCTCCTACCTGGTGTCTACACAAAGCAGATGGGTGGGATTTTCAAAATTTAAATCAAATCTTGTCCTTTAAACTCTCCAATGACTTCCCTTCACACTTAAAATGAAATCCAAACTCTTTTTAATAGTCTTCAAGGCTTCATTTACTCTCACCTCTGCTTACGTCTCTAACCTTACCTCCCACCCTTTTCCTAGCCCATTATGCTTCAGCCACTGTGGCTTTCTAATCCTCAAACCTGCCCAGTTCTTTCCCCGCTCAGAGCCTTTGCACCTGCAGTTTCCTCTGATAGGACTGTCCTTTTCCTGGCTCTTGGCCTACCTGGCTTCCTCAAAGCATTTAAAATTTCAACACAAATGTCACCTCCTCATAGAGGCTTCCTCTGGTGGCATCAAAAATAGCACCATACCATCATCAATCACTCGTTATCACTTCACCTCTGTTTTCCTTATCACAATCGTTAGTTAAGGGTTCATCTGCTGAAGGTCCCTCTCCACTAAGAATATAAGCCTCATGAAAGCAGGGATATGACAGCCCACTTCAGCATTATATGGAACAGTGCCTGGCACATGGCAATAAAAACCTGTTGGATGAATGAAAATGTAACTTTTACTTTGGATAAACATGCAGTTTTCATGTTTCACCTTCTGACAGTGAAATGAGAGCCATGTACAACAATGAGAAGTACGGCAGAAAGGGAAAAAGAAATTTTGAAAATTACTGGAAAAGCATTAACCTAAGAACAATTTTCAACAATCCTTTTCTCAACAGTACCAGTTACGGATCACATTCCTATGGACATTAATGAATTATTAATGAAAGTTTCAGATGGCCACACTGTCCTGAGTTTTGGAAATGTATCATCTGTTTAAATCTCCTGCTTTTACAAGAGCACTGTGATTAAGAGCATGGGCTACAGATAGCCCTGAGCTCAATTATGACTCTGCTGTGAAATCTGTGCAAGGCACTTAACTCTCTATGCCCACTCCCTCAATTAGAAAATGGAGTGAATAAGAGCTATCTCATAGTTATTGTGAAGATTAAAAGATATCGTGAAGATTAAAAGAAATAGTTTTTAAAGCATTTAGTTAAGTGTCTGACATGTAGTAAATGCTCAATAAATTGTAGTCATGATGATGATGA